TGTCTGACCTGTTGGTGCATATTCGTGATGTACAACACCTTCACAATCGAAAAAAACAATCAACATTGACTTAACGTTGCTCCGACTTTGACGTGCTTTTTTTGGTCTTGGCGATTCAGAATGCTTCCATTGTCAAGATTGTTGTTTTGTTTCAGGATCATAACCATAAAACCATGATTCATCACCTGTAATAACTTTTCTAAGCACATTATCATCATTATTGACCATTTCCAGATTGTCCAGAGCGATTTCTAAGCGAATATAGATTCTGCTCTGCTGTGAGTAATTTTGGGATGAATTTCGCACACACGCGTTTCATTCCTAAATTTTCGGTTTAAATTTCTGAAATGATAATTTTTGGTATCCCAAGATCTTCTTCTAGTTCTCGCACAGTCATACGACGATCTTGTTCGATTGCAAGTCGCACCCGCTCAATATTATCTGCGGTTTTTGTCGTCGAAAGTCGGCCGGAATGAGAATCACTATCGACAGAAGTGTGACCATCCTTGAACCGTTTATACCACTCTTTTATTCGTGTTTTGCTCATACACTCACTTCCGAAGGCCTTTTTCATCATTTCAATAGTTTCCGAACTAGTTTTTCCGAGTTGAAAGCAAAATTTGATGCAAATTCGTTGATCTTGTTTTTCAGTCATTTGGACAATATCAAAATCCGACGAACGCGAAAAAGGCACTGTAAACAAAGACACGTTGCGCATGAACTATACGTCCGGCAGGTGTCAGTAAGTAACCAATAGATTCGTGAGGCTTTACTGTTGACGTTTCTGTCCGGTAGAGGTCGCTCGAACACTATGTCGCGAAGATATAAACGTAGGTCCGATACTTTCCGGACAGACCCCGTATATAGGGATTTTCGAGATCACTCTTTACAAATCTGATATCAGATTTTGAAAATTGAAAATGGCGGGACCAATGTGGTGGACGAAAATGTCGAACAAAAATTTTCACTTTCATGAAAACTTGTTTACAAATATGTGACCTTTGTAGTCTGTACAAGTGAACTAAAGAGCCTTAAACCCTAAACCCCTAAGCAACAAATAGGCTAAATGGTTGTGCTTTTTAACCAAACGACTCCAAACCCCTAACTTCCAGACCGGCCGAAGTCCTATACTTTACCGTAGACACAAGTATAGACATATTACCGATATTTTATTCAATCATTTTGTATGTAACAAATAACGTCTAGTTTTATGCTTCGATCAAAGATTATTTATTTTTCTACTTTTATAAATTAGCATAATTTCAAAAGTAATTTCATAAATTATAAAGTATTTCATAAATTTCATAATTATATAATTTTATAAATTCAAAAAGTCCACACTTTTTTGCAAATGAAAAAACATAGATTAATAAAATTAGTTTATCAACCTCTTTTGCGTTTTTTAATAAATTTTAATGTTGTCAAACTTTTTTCATTGTTACAATTATTTCGTAAGCCAAAAGTTTTTTAGATGAATTCTCGAAGTAATGATTATTCTATCTATAGTAAAATATTTACAGTCTGGAATTCCATAATAATACTATTTGATACGATTTAATGAATTTATCAAAAAATCTAAATTCAATAATAAATATTATTCTCATTATTATTATTTTTCATTATCATTGCTATTATCAGTATTACTGTTTTTATTGCTATTGCAATTATGCTTATTCTTATTATTATTATTATTATTTTTTTTTTTTGAGGAGAGTCTGAATCCATTTTCGGACAACAAACGGAAGCCCACCAAGTGTGGGACTCAGTAGCTTAGGCCACCAATACCCACCAAACATATCTCTCCTTGTTCGCACCGCAACCAGCCTGGAACTGTTTATCACATTACTTCAGACTGGTCGGCTGTCATTGCATGTCCAAGCACATATTCATCCCTTTAATACTCATTCATTCCCAAATAGGCTCTGAAATTTTCTCATTCATTCAGTTTTCCAAGCATCCATCCGTCTTTTTGTTTCGTAACACATTCATAACGTACAGCGCAATCTTACGCCATGCGTCGGCTGTTGTCAACATTACGTTCGTCGCGTTTTCAGGCGTAATCGGCCCTAATTCTGTCTCCAGTCTCAATCTTTGCTCGGCCCAACGGTCGCACACGAAAAATTTATGCTCCTCGTCGTCCCAAGACCCCCTACAGTACACACAGTCTGGGAAAGTTACCTTACCCATTCTGTGCAGATACTTTCGGAACTATCCGTGTCCGGTCAGAAGCTGGGTGAGATCAAAATCCACCTCCCCGTGTTTTCTGTCTTTCCACGGACCAACGTCTGGTATCAGTCTGTGAGTCCATCGTCCTTGAACGTCTGTCGTCCATCTTGTCTGCCATTGTTCTGTCGTTTTCGTTCGTTCCTCTGTTGCAGCGTCGGCCCTCCCTACGGTCGAACTTCGGTCGTAAATGCGTTTCCTCTCGCCTGCCAAGAGGTCGATCGGGATAACGCCCGCGATCGCGAATATCGCGATTTCCGAAACTGTTCGGTACGCGCACGCGATTATTAGCGCTCCCGTTATTTGTACACTCGTCATAGTCTTTGCGCGTCTCCTCACCCATAACGAGTTGGGCCATTCCTCTGCTCCCTAAAGCATGATGTAGTGGGTTACGCCCATCAGCAGTCTTCGTATGAGGTGTGTTCAAAAAGTAAGGTGACTTTGTATTTTTAAGAAAAAATATTTATTTATTTATCAATATTTATGTTGTTCCCTTCAAAGTAACCCCCCTCAGATACAATACACTTATGCCAACGGTTTTTCCAATCCTCAAAGCACTTCTCATAAGCACTTTTCGGTATAGCCTTGAGCTCTTCCAGCGATGCAGTCTTTATCTCTTCAATCGTTGCAAATCTCCGTCCTTTCATAGGTCTCTTTAGTTTTGAGAACAAGAAAAAGTCACATGGGGCCAAATCCGGTGAATATGGTGGCTGAGGCATGATTGTGTTGTTTTTGGCCAAAAAATCTCTCACAAGCAAAGATGAGTGAGCAGGGGCATTATCGTGATGCAAAAGCCATGAATTGTTTTTCCACAATTCATTGAGACGATTGGACTTTGGTTTCGATATCATAACCAAATACCCGTGATTCGTCACCAGTTATGACCCTTTTGAGTAAATCTGGGTCGTCGTTGACGTCATTCAACAGTTCTTGAGCGATGCTCATGCGATGGTTCTTTTGGTCAAAATTTAGCAATTTCGGAACAAACTTCGCTGACACACGTCTCATGCCCAAAACGTTAGAAAAAATTTCATGGCACGAGCCAAGCGATATACCAACATCCTCAGCAACTTCTCTGATAGTGATTCGACGATTTTCCAGAACAATTTTCTTCACTGCTTGAACGTTTTCATCAGTTGTTGACGTGCTTGGGCGTCCAGAGCGAGACTCGTCATTGGCATCTTCCCGGCCATCTTGGAAGATTTTGTACCACTTGTAAACATTTTTTTTACTCAGAACAGTTTCACCGTATGCCACCGTCAACATTTCAAGTGTTTCGGAGCACTTTATTTTATTTTTTACACAAAATTTGATGCAAATCTTTTGATCCATATTTTTCGATAGCAAGAAATCGCCGAGCACGCAAAACACTTATAACCTTTACGCCTCTCACAACCCAACAAAAAATGCTATACACTTGAAACTTGGTACAGATGTTCGGGAAGAGTGTACCGACATAACAAAACAAAAAATCGATAATCGAAAGTACGTTGCCCGTGAAATTTGAAAAGTCACCTTACTTATTGAACACACCTCGTATACTCGGTCTCGGTCCTTTCGTGTTTACCATCAGCCTGCTCAAGGCCTTGGTGCTTTCGCTGGCTCTGGCGGTCGCGTCTCGTATATGGGGCCAAAAGTTCAGTTTCGTATCTAAAGTCCCCCCAGGTACTTTACCTCACTTTTGATCTCCAGTCGTTCCGTTCCTATGGTCATCGGTATTATCGTGTCTATTCTGTGTCTCATCAGTATCAATAAGCCTGTCTTATAAAGAGCCAGGCTCAGTCCATGGTCCGTCATCCACCCATCCAAACGCCTCATCACCTGGCTCAGTTTGAGCTGAGCTAGATGTGTGTCGCGGGCCGTTATTACGGCTACTATGTCGTCAGCGTAAGCGACCAGACGCGTTGGGTCATGTCGAGCTTTATTAGTCCGTCGTACAGTACGTTCCAGAGGTCGGAACCCAGTATGGATCCTTGTGCCACCCCCGCTGTAATTTTCCGGTACTTCCATCCTTTTGTCGTTTCATACGTCAGTCTTCGATCTTTTAAGTAATCCTTCAAGACTCTTAGAAGGTAGGCGGATATCTGAAAGCCGTCTTGTGCTCTCAGAATATCCACCCACCTAGCAGAGTTAAAGGCGTTCTTTACGTCTAATGTTACTAGGAGCATTATTGGTCTGGCTCCATAGCAAATCTCGTTCATTCTGTCAACTACCTGTCTCACGTCTGTGATTGCTCCTATCATTGAGCGTCCTTTCAGGAAGCCGTGTTGTCGGTCCGATAGGTCGCCAGCGGCTTGCACCGCCGCGTTTAGTCTTGGTCTCAGTAGCAGTTGGTATAATTTGCTGGTCGTGTTGAGGAGGCTCAAGGGCCTATACGAATTTGGCTTATCGGGGTCTCCCTTGCCTTTGCCAATGAGTACTAACCTCGCGTTCTTCCAGAGTTTACTGAAAACACCCGCTGTCAGGCACCCACTGTACAACTGCAAGAGTATGTCGGGCCGTCGAGTCGCTACATACCGTAGCAGTTCACCCGGTATACCGACTGGTTCAGGAGCCTTGTTCATATTCAGCAAGGTTGTCGCTCGTATAAGCTCTTCCCTTGTGAAGCAAGGACATTCCATTTCTTCGTCCGTGTTCGTGTCATCGATTCTATCAGGATGCGTTGGAAAATACCCTCAACTATCTTTTCTTTTATCTCCGGTGGAGTTCGGACGCTAATTTCCGGGTCACAATTTTGTAACCCACGGGTCTGAGTCCACCTCGTCTGTCAGCCGTGTCTAGCATTGTCGTTTACTGTCCGTTATAGTTTGTCTCAGCCTTTTTCTGGCAAGTTTGTATGCCTCTGAGGCTTTTTCGTCATGCCTGTTTCTTTGTCTTTGTGCCTGTCTACGTCGCCGGTGACATTCGCGTCTGATATCTGCAATTTCTTGCGTCCACCAGTACATCTGTCGCCGATCGCGTCCGTATCGTTTTTTCGGCATCGTAGCGTCGCATAGGTGACAGAGGTATTTTTCCGCCTCCTCAGCTAACTTCTCCGTCGAGTCACGGTCCGTACCACTTCGAGTGGTTTCCGGAAAAAGCTCTGCGTTTTGCAGTAGTCTGTCGAGTTCTTTTCTGTCCAGGTGTTTCGTGTCCCATCGTAGAGGGGGTAACACGTTACCTCTTTGTCTAGTCGTATTTTCGTTTGTTACTTCAAAGATGATGTATTGGTGATCACTGGCTGTATATTCCTCGATCACTTTCCATCCTCTTATTCGCGTCAGTAGTCTGTCTGTGGCCAAGGTCACGTGTGGTATAGATTGACCCCACCGCGGTCGTCTAAATGTCGCCGTCTTTCCCTCGTTCACTACTACTAGTTCCAGCCTCGCGGCCAGCTCTAGTAGCAGTTGTCCGCGTCTGTTTGTCGTGGGCATACCCCACTCAATAGCCCGCGCGTTAAAATAGCCTGCCGCGATCGTATTTCCAGGTATATCTCTCACGGCGTCTTCGATATCTACGAGTCTGTTGGCATACTCCAAGGCGGAATAGTTCGGTGACAGGTATACACTGACGATAACGACAGTGCTCACCCTCACCCAAACATAGTCCGGCCCGGACCCGCTTGCCGAGACTCGCATCGCTTCGTTTCCGCGTACCCACACCGCCGTCATGTTCGATTTGCTAGCAAATCACGATGGCTCAGGTCTGTTCCTGTATTGTTCGCTTATAACAAGTATGTCTGCGTTCGTCTCCGTCGCAATTTGACGGAGGAGCATGTGTGCTACGCTAGTCCTGTTCACATTGCATTGTAGTATCGTCAGGGTCATTTTTTCTGTTTCGTCTTTTGTTCCGTTAGTGCTGCTCTGTATATGGCGCACCCGCCTGATCCAGGCACGTAGGCCAGGTTCTGTCCTTCTATCCCCTTACAGAGGAAGCAGTCAGTAGTCTTTTTACACTGCTTGCCCACATGACCCGTCTGTCCGCATTTCATGCAGCAGTTCTTTCTGTCCGGCCCTTTACATTCTCTCCGCGTATGTCCATACCCGAGGCAGTTGAAGCATCTTTGAGTATGAATGCGGAGTCGAACTCTACCATTCATCCATCCTATTTTGATGCGTTCTTTGCCTATCAGTCTCGATGCTTCTGTCGTGTCAAACTCGCAAACGGCTCGCGCATTCCCATATGCGTTTGGCGCATAGATGCACTTTCCATTCCGATTCCGTATTTAGTTCACGATTTATCTCGTTCGCGGTATCCTGTATCGTCGTGACGCAGTCCAAGTCAGCAAACTCCAGCGTCACCCTGGAAATTAAGGCTTTTACTGTCGCAGTCTATCCTCATACTTTCTGAAGTGTCCATTGGAAGTCCTGTCCTTGCGACTTTTCCAGCCGTATCAATACAGCACCGTCCTTGGTTTTTATTATCGTCCGAACGTCTACCTTCTCTGTCTTGGGGTCTACCTTCTGTCTGATAGTCCGCAAGACATCGTCGTACAGTTGTCCTTCCACTGGCTTGATCAGAATGGTCCCGCGCCTGGTTTTCAGGTTGAGACACTCTGATCCTCGGCTTCTGTGTCCGTCTGTCGTCTTTTGTACCGTCTCGTTATCGGTCTTTTTCTTGTTCCTTTTCTTTTTCCTCCTTCCTTCCTCCGAAGGAGTCTGTTGAGTGGAATGCGTGGTGTCCTCCTCGTCAGGTGTCTGACGGTTTCCGGCATTCAGCCCCGGCGTTTGCTGTATGGCAGCAACGTCTAGGAGCGTTCTCCGTCTTTCGTCATCTACCTGGTCTGGGCTTGGAATCTATTTTAGCCGTTGCCTTTTATGTCCTGGAGTTTCCTCCATTACATTCGCTCGTCTTTCCGTTACGTTCGTCTTTTGTCTGATCTGTCGCATTCGCTTCAGTTCATACATACAAACTTCTACAGTCTCATATATCTCAGCCATACCGTTCGTAATCACGCGACTCACGTTTCTTTGGACGTTCGTCTTCTCCTTTATTTGTCCTAGAACGCTGTGTATGGTGAGCAGTTGCTCTCGCATCTTACTCTCCACAGCGTTCCAGGATTCTGGCGACGTCGACCCTGTCCTTTTTCCTGTCGCAATTACCCGTCCACCAACCAGGTTTCCTACTGGTGTAACGGGGGAGCCGGGCAGCTCCAGTGACTCTCCTGAGTCGATGGGCGCAGCCGGCACTCTAGTACCTGCAAAATTTTCTTTAGCTTTCATCTCATTTTCATCTCCTTCATTTAACTATGTGTTTTATATGTTAGTGATCAGAACTAATTACCAGGTATAGTGAGTCCTGCAATCTTTCCTGAGCAGACCCCCTGTCTCTTTTCAAAGCGAAAAAACACGCGATTTTCGGTGATTTTTTTAAAAGAAGTTAAAAACTATATTTTATTACAGAAAATTGTTGGTTCAAAAGGGTTTTTCGAAAAATTATTTTAAAGAAAACTGCGGACGTTTTATAAAATAACGTGGTTTTTCGAAGACTCAATTTTTCATTTTGCTTCCTCCCAGAGAAAACTTTATAATAGTAAAATTTTCAGTTAAAACTTCATAGAAGTAAGTTTGAAGGTGTTTGAAGGTCGAATCACGTATTTTTAGAAAATGTTTGGGTCTAGTCGGATTTAGTTTAAAAGATATAACGTTTAAAAAAAAAAACCGTTTTGTGAATAACACAGTTATGGTTATAGCTAATTGTAAGTAAATTTTCTTTTAGTGAAAACATAAGTATTTTGTATTCTTTCAAAAACAATTTGTATGATTTAAATATCTTAATATTTTTCATCTGAAGAATGGAAATACCGTTTTTCAAAAATCGAAAATTCACTATGAATCAAAAACGTGTTGATAAAATCAAAATGGATTCATTTCACGCATTCGGGATAGAAAAACAAAAGTGGATACCAAATTTTATCGATATCCGATTGACAGTTCAAAAATGGTATACGTACATACACACACACACACACACATCCATACGGACATTTTCGAAAAACACGTTTTTTGAACTTCAAACGAAGTTTTTTTATGAAGCTGAAATTTTTACTATTACAAAGCTTCTTCTAGGAGGAAGCAAAATTTTAAGACGATTGCTTTTACGACTTTCAAGATATCTTGGTCACCGAAAAACAATTCTGAAAAAGACAGGTTTCCTTAACATGGCTATAATTTCCTTAATTTACAATATTTTTCAATACCAAAATTCATGAAAGTTTTTCAATATATCTATTTTGGAACCAACAATTTCCTGTAAGCAAAAAGACAGTTTTAATTTCTCAAAAAGTTCCACGAAAATCGCGTGATTTTTTGCCTTGCGACTAGGCATAAACCATCATTAGTATGTTATGGATTAAGGGTGGAAAGAAAGCGATTACAGATGAGTGTGAAAGTTGTCACCCTAGCGAAGTGAGGGTGGCAATCACTCATTATGATCGTCTTTCCACACATTATGCACATTTTTTGTCTAATCTGCACCGTAAGTGTGTTATTACATACATGTAAATGCGAGTGGAAATTATAGCACTATTTTCCGCTCTAGAGCGGAAAAGAGAGCCCTAGGATGGAATGTAAGCCCTATGACGGAAATTTTTTTCTTTTCTGCACTTTTTCGCCCGTAAGTTTATTTTCCGCCCAAAGGCTCATTCCTCCGCCCTTGAGCGGCAAAGTACTATTTTCCGCATGATTTACATGCATATAACAGCATACTTTCGGTAGAGGCAGGGCAAAAAGATATTTTCAACATGTATGTAACCATGGTACATGTATGTAATAAAGTTTTTTAATAAACTCAAAGAGTTTTTTTATAACATGTGAATAAAAACTACTATTTTCGGCGCCTATAAAGTGAACCAAAAATAGAGTTTCCTTCACAAAGTGGAACAAGAATTCTTCTCCAATGCATAAATTAATGATTTGATTCAATTTACATTCACTCGTTTTATTCTGGTAGAAATGTAGCAGTCATTCCTTACATGCAAAAACACAGCTTGTATAAATTTTACAGATTGTTTTTATTTTAGATTGAAAAATGAAAATTAATCCGTTAAACGTTCTAAACTTATTATTAGCATACTTTCAAGCGTTAAATATACCAGATAGTGTTACGAATTATCATGAAACAGAGTTGGCCGAAAAAATAAAAGAAATTTTAATAGATGCAACACATGATTTCAACGATGTAGAAATGATTACTGGTGACTCTTTGGATTTTCAAGAAGAGTATAATGACCATAATGTGGAAATAATTGAAGATGAAGTGCAACATCATTTTCCTGATCCGGATATAGCACCAACAAATCAATGTACAGGAGATAATGAAGAACTAGATTTTGATTACAAAAAAAAGCTGTAGATTTTTGGAAAAGTAGCAAAACGAAGCAAAATTTAAGTTTCAAAACAGTGCAAAACAGATTCAAAAAAGTATCATCTATTAGTCAGCTACGTCGTTGGGCTCATTCAATTAATAAAGGTGGCACGTATAGAGAAAAAGTAGCACAAATTTGTCAGTATACCCTGGATAATTTTAAAGCAGCTCTCGATAGTGGTTCAATTATCTATGATGAAGATATAATTCGATGGGCCTTACAAGTTGAAAAAGAAATTGGTTTTGATGATATTAGATTCAAAGCTTCTAAGCATTGGTTACTCAAATTTAAGCAAGCACACAGAATAGTTTCTAGGAAAATAAATAAGTTCATAACAAGAAAAACGCTAGAAAGTAGTATAGAACTTATGGCTAAAGCTGAAGCATTTATCGATGATGTTAAATCGTGTATACCAAGGATTAGACTCGAAAATTTGTATAATTTAGATCAGAGCGGATTTCAGCTAGAAATGCATTCTGAAAGAACATTAGCAGTAGAAGGAGAAAAGCAAGTGCAATGTCTGGTACAGTCAATTTCAGCAACAACGTATAGTTATACTATACAGCCACTAATATCAACTACTGGACAACTGTTGTCACCGCTATTTCTAGTTTTAAATGAACTAAGTGGCAAGTTTGGCCCTATTGTAGAACAAAACATATTTAGACCAGAAAACGTGTACGTGGAAGCATCCAAATCTGGAAAATTAACAACAAGTAAGGGAACTAATAACAATTTTTACATTGTAATATCGTTGATCAGTTAATTAGTAAGTCATTTGATTGCAGATCACTTTAAAATCTGGTTGGAAAAAATATTTTATCCCCATGTAGACCATATTATTACCTGACTCTTGAAGTGGTCATTGTGACAAAGTTATAGAAGAAACGATGCCACAAAATAAACTTATTAACATAAAACAATTCCAACTGGAACTACAGGAAAAATACAACCACTTGATGTCTATGGATTCTGTATTTGGAAAAACTTTGTCCGAACATTTTCTGATAATGTAATGTTAATGGATTATGACATGAATTTACATGTGAGAAATAATATAATTAAACTTCAATCATTGGTTCACAACCAACTGTCTTCACAGAGATATATAGATTTGTTTAAATATTCCTTGTATAAAAGCGGTTACGTCAATGAAAAACCAGATAAACACTTTTATGAGAACTACCATTATTGTAAAAACTTCGTAAAATAATATATTTTATGCTCAATACAAAAAATGCACTATGGCAAAAGATAAAAGATTATAGATTATTATTATTATACTCTAACATTATAAACAAAAAT